CGTGAGAGCACACGCACACCCCCTAAGCAACCCCCATGTTCTCGCACACTTATGTGAACACAGGTATTTTTTTTTATATTGGCGTATAGTTGATTAACAATGTTGCGTTAGCTTCAGGTGTACAGCAAAGTGATAAACGCACGTATTCTTATTTTCCCAGGTGTGCACATGGCTGTGGGAAAAGCACAGATTAAACCATTGTGTTGAGCGGTTCACATGAGCCACCCAGAAACCTGGGACAAAGGACAGCCCGAGTTGGTTCATTTTTCAAATGCAGAGCCGCCGAGCTCTCTAAGTGGCCAGGCAGACGGCAATGCAGGGGGTTAATGCCGTCAACACTACTGAATTTCAGTGATGAAGGTCCAGGCTGGCCAGAGATGCAACCGCAGCGGCTGTGAATTCTCGCAGGGGGAAATACACTCTTCTTCTGTCTGGTCTCTTCTTAGGCCGCATGAACAGCCAGAATGTCAGCCCTCGGCAGAGTACCTTCCAGCGAGGCCACACGTTTAAAGCTGCAACAACCACGAGAGGAAAATCGGCTGAATTCAAGATGCCCCTGATTTTCCAACTTCCCAGTTCTGTTCTCTCTATATGGAGCTGGAATCGTCTTCCTTCGGAGTAAAACTACAAACAGAGCGCTTTAAATTTCTTAACAGAAACTCTACTTGTTTCTACCAACATCACCAAACACCTACGTGTCACTCACCTGTGTGTCACTGCCAGCCTTGACCTGGATCTAACTTAAGCAGAAAACACTGCAGCCCCTTTAAGCACAGGAAACGGGCTGGCACACAGGGAACAGGAGAACCATGAAGGCAGCACGAGAGGGTTAGCCCACTCGAGACTTGGCTGCTCCCACCTTTAGGCCTTGGGGATACTGGGAAGATGAGGTGTCACCAGAGTCCAGATGGCAGGGCCATTGGGAGGAGCAAGAACCATGGGTGGCCAGTGGCAGGAGGGGCTCAACAGGGGAAGGTGGGCACAGACACCCGAAGTACTTCGCTCCAGATCAGACGAGGAGCAGCCCAGCAGCTCACACCCAGAGTCCTGGCGTCCACTCTCCCCCAGCACCTCTTGCACCAACAGAAGTCAGAGCAGGACCAGGAGGGACGGCTCTGACGGCCACCCTGCAGCTGCCCCTGCTTCCACTGAACTCCTGGGTGACACAAACTCCACCTCAGAAGCTCCCCCTGTATTCATGCTTCTGCCTTACAGCCTCCACCTGAGTCAAGGAGGGCCTGGAACACCACCCACCGGGACCATCACTCTTAGTTCCCTGAATAACGTGATACACCCAACTTCTACTGAGGAGTCACAACAAAACAGTCATGCAAAAATCACGCCTGCATTTGTTTAAAAAACAGCCAATATTAAATTGCTTACCACCCCTTATCTAAAACTCCTGGACAAATTCCTCCACAGGAAAAGGCTCTCCCCTAAAAGATGATATTCACTTACTAATTACACGATGAGCATCTGGTAACATCCCACTTCCCTTTTCACCATGGCTGCCTGCAGACTCTACTTCAGAATTCATTTGGACCTGCATAAGCTATCCTTAGCCCAGGTTCCCTGCCATATTTAACTTTCTTTCCTAACACATGGTCCTCTGCCCACCACAACGACCTAAATACAGGTAAGAATGAGAAAACAAACAGAAAAGCCTTTTGTCAGCCAAAATAGCTGTCACCAAATCCATGCACTAAATATCCTGTGCTCTGAAGCCAGCCTGTCTGTTAAAATAGCTATTATAAATATGTCCCATATGTTCAAAAAAATAGAAGAAAACATAAACACAATGAAAGAAATAGAAGATATAAAAGAGACCAAATGTAACATACGTGTAAAATACAGTATCTAAAGTGAAAAATCACATGATGTGATTAACAAATTAGATACAGCAGAAGGGGGAAAAAATGAGTGACAATGAAGATGCAACATTTTTTAAACTATCCAGGAGGAGAAAGAAAAAAAGACTGAAGAAAATGAATAGAGCATCAGTAAAATGTGGGACAATATTAAACAGTCTAACACACATGCAATTGGAGTTTCAGAAAAAGCCAGAAAATCATTTGAAGAAATATGAACTATTTCTTCACATCTGATGAAAAGCCTATATGCACTGTTGCAAGAAACTCAATGAAATCAAAGCAGAAGAAACATAAAGAAAACCAAACCAAGGTAAATCATAAACAAATTGCTGAAAACAAGTGATAAAGAAAAAAACCTGAGAAGTGGTCAGAAGGGGGTGGGGCGGGAAAGATTACATACAGAGGAACAAAATTAAGGACAGCAAAACTGATCATCAGAAATCATGCAAGGCAGGACACAATGGAACAACACGTTTAAAGCATGGAAAGCGGGGAAAACAACAAGCCAGAATTCTGTAAGTAGCAATATCTTTCAAGAATGAAAGTGAAATAAAGCCTTTTACCAAAAAAAAAGAGACGATTAATATACTAGCCGACCTGCAACTGAGAAACATTGGTACAAGTTCCTTAGGCATAAAAAATGATACCAGATGGAAATTCAGATTTACACAAAGGAATGAAGAGCATAAGAAATGGTAAATAGGCAAATAAATATAAAGGCTGGGGGTTTTTCCTATTTTTAATCTCTTTAAAAGATAACCGACTGCCTAAAACAAAAATACTGAAAGTATATTTTGGAGTTTATAACGTATGTAGAAAAAAACATGCTAAATGAATATAACAAAAAAATGGAATGAGAGAAGTTGAAGTACACTGATATAAAGTTCTTACACTGTATGTGACAATGAGTTATACGATGTGAATGCAGACTATGATGAGCTAAATATGACTATTACACACCCCAGAGCAACAACTTAAAAGAGAGAGAGAGGAGAGGGACAGCCAATAATGTAGATAAATGGTAAATTGAAATCATTTAAAAAATATATTCAAATAGTCTGAATAAAGGCAGGAAAATGGGGGGAGAAGAGTGAAAGAACAACTGGGACAAAGAGAAAACAAATAGGATGATGGTGCACTTGAAACCAACCACACTCGTGATTACATAACATGTAAATGGTCTGAATACTTCAGTGTTAAAAAGACATTGTCACATACGATTAGTATGCTGTCTACAAGAAACGTGTTAAATGTAAAGACAAAACAGATAAAATGTAAAAGAATGGGAGAACATTTACCATAGAAACAGTAATGAAAAGAAAGCTGGAGTGGCTATCATAATATCAAACACCTAATTTCAAAAGAAGGAAATTACTAAGACTAAAGGCCATTAAGAATAAAGGGGTTGGGGCTTCCCTGGTGGCACAGTGATTAAGAATCCGCCAGCTATTGCAGGGGACACGGGTTCAAGCCCTGGTCCAGGAAGATCCCACATGCTGCGGAGCAACTAAGCCCATGCACCACAACTACTGAGCCTGGGCTCTAGAGCCCATGTGCCATAGCTACTGAAGCCCACGCACCTGGAGCCTGTGCTCTGCAACAAGAGAAGCTACTGCAATGAGAAGCCCACGAAGCCCGCACCCCGCAACGAAGAGTAGCACCTAGAGAAGGTACAGGCACAAAAACGAAGACCCAATACAGCGAAAAATAAATTAAATAAATTTTTAAAAAAATAAAGGGGTTAATCACCAAGAGGACATAAAAATTCTAAATATGTATGCACCTAATAAAAGAGTTTGAAACAGATGAAGCAAGAACAGAGAATGTAAGAGGCAAGAAGAGAGAATGTAAGGGGAAACAGACAAATCTCCAGTATCGCTGGGGATTTCAACACTCCTTTCTTGTAATTTATAGAACAGGGAAGCAGAAAAGCAATAAGAAGATACAGCACTTGAACATCAGCAACAAACCTGACCCAATTACCATTTACAAGAGCACTCCACACAAAAGCCACAGAATATACACTCTTTCCAAGTGCACGCAATCATTCACCAAGATAGATCGCATTCTGGGCCATAAAACAACTCTCAATAAACTTAGGAGGACTGAAGTCATAAGAAGTATGTCCTCTGACCACAAGGTAAGTAAACTGGAGATCAATAACAGAGTGGTATCGGGAAAGTCCCCAAATATTTGACAATGGAATGACACACTTCTAAATAACCCATGCATTAATGAAGAAATCACAAGGGAAATTGGAAAACACAACACACTGAATGAAAACGAAACCCTGACACAGCAATCTGTGGGATGCAGCCAAAGCAGTGCTTAGAGAGAATTTTTAGCACTGGATATTAATATGAGAAAGACAAAAGGACTCCAGCTTCCACCTTAAACTACAAAAAAAGCAAACTAAAGCCAAAGTAAGCAGAAAGAAGGGAAAATAAAGATAAGAGCAGAAGTCAGTAAAAGGGAAAAAAAAGAGAAAAATCAATGGTAACAAAAGCTGGATCTTTGAAAAATAAATTGATAAACCTCTAGTCAGACCAATTAGGGGAAAAAAAGAGAGAAAAGACGATTACCAATATCAGCAATAAATACAAAGGCATGATTTAAAGTCCCACAAACATTAAAAGGACAATAAAAGAAAATTAAAATAACTTTAGACCAATAAATTCAACAACTTAGATGTAACGGCCAAATTCCTTGGAAAACACAAATTATCAAAAATCACTAAAGGAGAAATAAATGACTTTAATAACCCTCTATCTACTAAAGAAACTGAATTCGTAGTTAATATCCATCCCATATAGAAAACTCCACACCAAAATGGCTTCACTGGTAAACCCTGTTAAACATTTAAAGAGGAAACAATACTAAGATTACATAAACTATTCCAGAAAATAAAAGGCCTTGTTTTATGAGTAGGATTGCCCTAACACCAAACCAGAAAGACGTGGAGAAAAGAAACCTACAGATCAATATCCCATATGCCCAGACACACAAATCCTCAGAAATATTAAACTGAATCCAGCAATACATGAAAATAAGAATACATCAAGCCCAGGTGGGGGTTACCCAGGAATGCAAAGTTGGTTTAACATACGGAAACCAGTGTGTATAACTCACCACAGCAATAACACGAGAGAGAAGAACTTCCTCAATCTGATAAGAGGCACCTACAAAAACATACAGCAGGGCTTCCCTGGTGGCGCAGTGGTTGAGAGTCCGCCTGCCGATGCAGGGGACACGGGTTCATGCCCCAGTCCGGGAAGATCCCACATGCCACAGAGCGGCTGGGCCCGTGAGCCATGGCTGCTGAGCCTGCGCGTCCGGAGCCTGTGCTCCGCAACGGAAGAGGCCACAACAGTGAGAGGCCCGTGCACTGCAAAAAAAAAAAAAAAAAAAAAAAAATACGGCAAACATCACACTTAACTGGTGAAAGACGATGATACAAAAGCAATGGTGAGTAAAACTGCCGAAAACCGAGACAGCAGCACCAAACTATACAGGGTTTCGTCCTATCCTTCCCCACCATAAACTCACCGTTAAAAAAAAAAAAAAAAACAATTTAAGAATGTCCTGATGAAACTATCAAAATCAAACTTGTGACCTTTATTCAATCTCGGCCCTTCTGTGCCCAAACGGCAAGTACAACAGGGCACTTCTGCTGCAAAACAAGAACGATGGTTGTCTGGGGGTGGGGGGCACTCTTATGATTATTACAGATTTGAGAGGAACTGGCGACCGTTTCATGAGACAAAAGCTTTACACGTGTGAATGACTAATCACCTACGGTTATTCAGATATTTTCTCAAAAATAAACAGGGGGTCTGGGCACCGCCAGGGCACCTGGAGCCACGCCCCCCAACCCCGGGAACCAAGGGACAGCTGTGTTCACGTTTTCTTCTGATTTTAAGATAAGTTGAAACATGTCCGGGGGCCCCCAGAAGAATCCTGGGCCCCGGGTGCCGGCCTGCCGGGCCTGGTGCAGAAGGCGGCGCTGGCCCAGTGGCAGGGCAGCCCCGAGGGTGAGGGGAGGCACCTTCCGGTTTCCAGACGCCCTGTCCAGAGCCACCCACTGACCGGATTGGCTGTTAGGGACGGGGACCTGGTACAGAGGAGATGAGCTGCCTCTGGACAAGCTCAAACAGTGATGGCCGTGTCCAGCACGGACTGGATCCCTGAGTCACTGAGTGGCACGGCCGCGGGCTGGACTCGCTGGACTTCGTCTGAGCGAGAGTAAATCCATACCACATTAAAAAATAAACAAATAAGCAAAGTGAGGCTGTCACTGTAACACAACTGACAGTATTTGCTGTTAATGATAAAATGAGAGCTTTCAAGCTGATGATAAGAACTTTGGGAAACTTGTATCCACCAGCACGGCTTGACAACCTCCAGTTCTAAGACTTTTCTAAGGAGAAAGGTGGTGACATGACAGATTTTTAATACTGTATTATGAAACATGTCAACATTTGGAAGATCTGTATAATTCAGCAAACAAAAATTTTCCAAAGGACCAATGAATGCTGTTACAAAAATCAAAGTACAAGCTACACAGTGGATTTTCGTGTAATGGAGAATAGAAAGTTCACACTCAGGGCTCACACTCCACACTGCATGAAACTTCGAGAAACTACCACCTGTCAAGTTCTGTTGTGATGTCAAAGAAGACTATCCACAGTTAGTTGAAGAGGCTATTAAGTGTCTCTCCCTTTTCCAGTTACTTATTGGTGTGAAGCCAAAAAACAACCTATTGCAATAGATTGAACTCAAAAGCAGCTACGAGAATCTAGCTGCCTTCTACCCATCCAGTCATTTAAAACGTTTAAAAAAAGGTAAACCAATACCACTCACCTCACTAATTGTTTTTTTATGTAAAATATAGTTACTTCTCATTTAAAATGTGTTATTTGTATTAAAATGTTTACTGTTGCTTAAATGAATAAATATTTTTAAAAATTTTCCATGTTAACTTTCAATGTTGTTTTGATATATCACTCTAGAATCTCTAATAAGTTTTTAGAGTGCAAAAAGTCTCTGAGCCCAAACAGTGAAAGGAACACAGGCGTGGAGGGAAGAGTCCTGAGACCTCGCCCTGCCCTACCCCACCTGCTATCTCCGTCCCGGAAACCCAGGGCCTTTCAGGACCCAATCCCGCACCTGCAAAGCTGGGGAAGAAAAGAGGTGCACACCTGTATCCCCATCTGGCATCCAGAGCACGACCAGAGGGACATGAGGGCCCCGTGTGCTGTCACAGGAACACACCCACTTTCCCATCTTTTTACAATAAATGCTCACTACCACCTCGACCACGACCTGCACAAAAGTTTCCACACAAATCTGATCAAGTCCCTCTAGGAGACTTCCTCATAAAGCACCCTAGAGAACTTATCACTATTTCGGCTTAAAGCTGGAAACGAAAGGAGGGGAGGAAGAAACAATCCTTTGGTGTAGCAAGTCAGTGTGGGAATATGAAAACATTTAAAACACACCAGATTTTTGGTCAAGATGAAAGACACCCCCGCCCCCCCCACAAGAAAAACCAAGCAATCTATTCTAATTGGGTTCCCATGGTAACTGTACAATTGGGTTTTTCAATATAACATCCCAAAGGCCCAGGGCACACTTGTAAAATATACTTCAAACAGCCTGAATTGTCTTCACATTAGAGCACTCCCAGGAAGATCAATCACTGCACATCCCCACCCTGACCACCGGTGGTGGGAGACCTTAGTGGCACTTGCCACGCTAACATAGGTCATGTAAGGAACACAACACACCACAATAACTATATAAAACTAATCTCATGCTTGAGATTCATCAAATCTGTTCTGGTAACAAACCACTACTTCTGTTGTCACACAATCACGTTTACGAAAATATAAGAAATAGAGCCCAACTGCACACCGCACCATTACGCCCCTCTTATTGATTTCAAGGATAAACAGAATCAATCACTAATAATTACATCATAAGATGGGCCTCAAGGTCAATCGTATTCTTAGACTCTCAGTATGGAATTAAACAAACATAGCTATGCCGATAAACAAATAAATAAAACATAACTGAGAATACAAATCCACATTTCAAATGTTAACAGCACGATACAAAGCACAGAACACAACCTCACCCAGGACTCCAGCCTCTCCTGCCTGGACTGCAACACCCCTCCCTGCCACTGCTGGGTCCCCCAAAGAGGATTCGAGGGCATGGTGGTAGCCACACGGTAAGGGCACAGAGGGTCAGAGCTCAGAAATGGCAAGATCCATTAGGTGAAAGTTTACAACTTGAGTTTTCTTTGCAACAATCCCCAAAATACCCACGTATCGGATACATTCTGCAGAGGCACAATACGAAGCGCGACACATGGAGAACTGGTGACTTGGGCAGAAGTAAATGTAAACCTCCTGTCTTTATTATATCTCCCCATCAGTGGCCACAGATGTAATGTAGGCCAATTTGGTGCACGTGTGGGCCAGCAAGCTTCCAGTGAGAAGTGTCTTGCTAAGTTCCCAACTCAAGAGAGACGTCCAAAAATCCTCAGAGACATCTTAGCATGAAAAGTAGCGAACTGCACAGTACTTAGAGTTCCTACTACTGTCCAACAAATGACCCCATGCTGCTCCTTGATCCAGAAAGGAGAATGAACCGACCAGTATCAAGAGGGGGAAAAAAAAAAAAAAATCAACCAACCAACAGAAACTCCCAGGTGACAAGTGGAGGCTACAGGCTGGCTCCGTAACCCCTCCTCATGCTTAAGAAGCCCCGTCCGTCAGTGTTTACTCAGGCCCACATCTCCTCCCCTCCTCCCCATTTCCCTCAGGGCCTGGGGCCTCAACAGTTTTCCAGCACATGTCCACCCAGTGCCAGGACAACACCAGGCCTGTCTATGGTGCCCTGGCCCTCTGGGTGTCTCCTGGCCCACCTGCCAAATCTCCTTTCTGCAACCTCTGAGGACCCTGGTAATAAGCCTTAGGTTTCTGTTCATTCTGTTTTCGTTTACTCCTATACACCTTTTGGGGTGCTAAGAGCTAAGCCTGAGAACAGTGCTGGGTGTTTTTGTTTGTTCTGGTTTTTTTTTTTTGCGGTACACGTGCCTCTCACTGTTGTGGCCTCTCCTGTTGCGGAGCACAGGCTCCGGACGCACAGGCTCAGCAGCCATGGCTCGCGGGACTAGCTGTTCCTCGGCACGTGGGATCTTCCCGGACCAGGGCACGAACCCGTGTCCCCTGCGTCGGCAGGCGGACTCTCAATCACTGCGCCACCAGGGAAGCCCATAGTGCTGTTTTTGAGCACTGTCTGATTACAAAGTTATCTTTATCTCCAAATTCCAACTTCATACATAAACCCCTCACGAGCTTTGTGCTTCTGAAATAACTGTAGTCTGCACCTCACCTTCTATTAGTCAGCTTGGGTTGCTATAACAGAATATCACACACCAAATGGCTTAAAGGACAGAAGTTAATTTTCTCACAGCTCTGTAGGCTGGCTAGTCCAAGACCAAGGTTCCAGCTGACTGCGTTTCTGGGGAGGCCTTTCTTCCCGGCTTGCAGGCAGCCACCTGCTTCCTGTGCCTTCACATACTAAAGATCTCTCCGTCCTTTTCTTATAAGGCCACCAACCCTAAGGTGGATTAGGGCCCCACCTTAAAACCTCATTTATGCTTAATTACCTTCTAAAGGCCCCATCTCCAAATACAGTCACATTGGGGGTTAGGCTTCAACATATGAATTTCAAGGGGCACGTTCAGTCCACAGCAACCTGCGTTCTGCAGCCTTTGCTGGGCCTTCCATCAGGTGTGAGCCCCACACCAGGCCATGGAGAGTTTCCAATTCAGAAAGCCAGCATGAAGAGACAAAAACAATACAAGTAAAGCAGAAACCCAAGTGTAAATGTGAGGAGACATTATGGGGGCTGAAGAGGCTCCCAAGAGGGCTGCAACAGGAGAAGGGTTCAGAGACAGCTTGGGAGCAGAGAGCGTCTATGTTTGGGCTGAATCAGAGAAGGATCCCTAGGTGAGAGTAGGGGGTGCTCTGGGGCCTCTGAGAGCGAAGAGCTGATGCACAGCTATCTAGAGAAGGTGCCGGAACAAATGTGGAAGCCGTGGGGCTGAAAGTGGCGTCAACATGAGCCTCACAGGCTCATTTCATTCGGGACCTGCGTAGGAAAGAGGGGTCACCTTGGAGCACCTCTAGACCCCTGCCTGCAACAGGAGGAGGAAGGGGCACGCTCCTGTTTGTGTCTGCCT